GCGCGGGGAGCCGGGCGGCGAGAGGCGGCGCAGAGCCCGGAGGCCGAGAGCCCGCGCCCGCCGCCGCCCGCGATGCTGCTCTCCAAGTTCGGCTCCCTGGCGCACCTTTGCGGGCCGGGCGGCGTGGACCACCTCCCGGTGAAGATCCTGCAGCCAGGTGCGCGCGGGGCGGGGGCGTCGGGGCTCGGATCTGGGGGCCGGGGGCTGAGATTTGGGGGCTGGGGGCCGCATCGGGGGCCGAGAACTGGGGGTCGGGCATCGTTGGGGGCCAGGGTGCGCCGGGCCGCAACAACCCCGCCCGCGGTCCCCACAGCCAAGGCGGACAAGGAGAGTTTCGAGAAGGTGTACCAAGTGGGCGCCGTGCTGGGCAGCGGCGGCTTCGGCACGGTCTACGCGGGCAGCCGCATCGCTGACGGGCTCCCGGTGAGTCGGGCCGCCGGGCAGATTCGGGATTCTCGCCCACGGCGCGCGTCGTCGCGGCCGGGCGGGTCTTGACCACTCACGTGCCCCCCCAGGTGGCTGTGAAGCACGTGTTGAAGGAGCGGGTGACCGAGTGGGGCAGCATCGTAAGTGCGGGGCGCCGGGCGGGCGGCGGGCACTGTCGGCCGGGGTTGGGGGTCCGCCCGCCGGCTTGGGCGCGCTGACCGCAGTGTCCCCCAGGGCGGCGTGGCCGTGCCCCTCGAGGTGGTGCTGCTGCGCAAGGTGGGCGCGGCGGGCGGCGCGCGCGGCGTCATCCGCCTGCTGGACTGGTTCGAGCGGCCCGACGGCTTCCTGCTGGTGCTCGAGCGGCCCGAGCCGGCCCAGGACCTCTTCGACTTCATCACGGAGCGCGGCGCCCTCGATGAGCCCCTGGCGCGCCGCTTTTTCGCGCAGGTGCTAGCAGCCGTGCGCCACTGCCACGGCTGCGGGGTCGTGCACCGCGACATAAAGGACGAGAACCTCCTCGTGGATCTGCGCTCTGCCGAGCTCAAGCTCATCGATTTCGGTTCGGGCGCTCTGCTCAAGGACACGGTCTACACCGACTTTGACGGTGAGCACGGGCGGGGTGGCGGAGCGGTCCAGCGGCGGTCAGTAACGCCCGTGGGGAGCGGGGCGTCGCATGGAGGAGCTGGCGACTGTTGGAGGCCACGTGCGTTGTGCCTCGGGCACGCTCGCGTGGGCGGCGCGGGTCACGGGCTACGGTGGGGAGGGCAGAGCCTGGGATCGCGAGCCGGTTCGTGGTGGGTGGGGGCGAGTGGCGGGCTCAAGACTGTTTTCTCCGGCTGTGTTGGGGTGCGACCACGGGCGGGGGTTCGGGGGGGTCGTGGCCGGGAATGCCTGGACCCCCGCGAAGTCGCACCCGGCGCTGCCGCGGGCCTCCCGGTGGGTGAAGGCGGGCGCTACGTGCGTGCGTGGAGAGCTGGGAGCGCCGCGGTAGAAATCCCCGCATTGCGGAGCGCGGGGAAGCCGGGGCTCCCCGCCCTCGCGCCTCTCTCCTCGTCCCTCCTCCCTCTTGCGTGTGTCGTGTCCCCTCCCCGCGTAGCCTCATCTCACATCTGTTTGTTGTGAAATTGGAGCCTTCGCTCATGTGAGGCCGGGCCAGCTGGGGGCGGGGTGGGACGGCGCCCCTGGGGAGGCCACGCCCCGGGCTTTTTCCAGAGTGTTGACGAACAGGATTCCGAGGCAGTTCTCTCTTCCAGCCAGTTCTCTCTTGCAGCGTGGGCTGCAGAGATGATTAGCTGGGAGCACAGGGGATGGGTGCTTGTGTTCGGTGCCAGCTTCGTGGAGCGCTGGTCTTTCGGGTGGGCGTCCTCATCCTCATGTGTCCCCCAGGCACCCGAGTGTACAGCCCCCCGGAGTGGATTCGCTACCACCGCTACCACGGGCGCTCGGCCACCGTGTGGTCTCTGGGCGTGCTGCTCTACGACATGGTGTGCGGGGACATTCCCTTCGAGCGGGACGAGGAGATTCTCCGGGGCCGCCTCTTTTTCCGGAGGAGGGTCTCCCCAGGTGTGTGGGGGTCTGGGCCTGCTGGCACAGGGCGCAGTGGAGTCTGCCCTTCGTGACCCTCTCTTCTTCTCTCCAGAGTGTCAGCAGCTCATTCAGTGGTGTCTGTCCCTGCGGCCTTCTGAGCGGCCCTCACTGGACCAGATTTCTGCCCACCCTTGGATGCTGGCTGCAGACGGGGGCACCCCGGAGAGCTGTGACCTGCGTCTCTGCGCCCTGGACACGGACGATGGGGCCAGCACCACCTCCAGCAGCGAGAGCTTGTGAGGAGGGGCCTGCACCTGGCTTGTGGGACTGTGGGACCCAGAAGGACCACCTGCCCCAACTTGGCCCTGCGAGAGACCACAGACGGACTCTGCTTGGTCGCCTGCTCTTTGCGAAAGCAGTGAACTCTGATCCCTGGTGACCTTTGCCTTTGGCACCGGGCCGTTTCCTTTGCTTTGAGTGCCTTTTCGATCGCTGCTCTCACAGACTTGGTTTCTCAAGCTCTGTCTGCCCAAAGACGCTCCGGTCAGAGCGAGGTTCCCCTTGCCCTGGGCAGGTGCTTGAACCTGAGACTGTCCCTCTCCTGTGCTGCTCTGGGAGGTGGCCAGCCGGCCCTCAGCGTCTCCCTGTGTGACCATGTTGGACCAGGAGCACTCCCATGTCCTGTGGCCTCATCTCACCGGGGACACAGGGTCCCTGTGCCCATCCCCCTGAGCCACCCTCATCTTTCGGTGTTTGTCTGGGCATGTCTGTGCACAAGCAATGCAACCTTCAGGCCTCTGCTGCCCGCGTGCACTGCACGTGTGGACGTCTTATTTATGGTGTGACCCCCGCGGAGGGCTATTTATTGTTTAATTTATTTGTTGAGGTTCCTCCCTCCCAGCAGCCCCACCTCCACTAGGCCCTCGTGGGCGGAGAGGGGTGGCTGTGCTGTGGACCCAGGTCCCCACCGTACCTGTGTCTGTCAGAAGATGGACTTGTACAGTGGCTAATTTAAGGGGAGTTGGTGACGCTGCCATCTCGAGGCTCTGTGCCTCGGGGGTGGGTTTTAAATTATTGACCTTGTACAGTGCTTGTTGGCTCTGGAAGCTGGGGGATGGGGAGACTGAGTCGCAAGCCTTTAATTTATTTTAGCAGCTGTGTTTCTGTGATCCGGGTGTGTGTAGGCATCGCGGATGGGGGTTTGTTTCAGTTCAAAAGTGAGATGTCTGGAGATCATATTTTTTTATATGGTATTAAATTGTTTTGTATATAATGGACTTCTGTAGGTTTATTGGGCTGGGTGGGCTGGGGTGAGAGAAAGGAGTTGTGGGAGAAGGGGCCTCTGGGCCCTGGGTAGCCCCTCCCAGTTTCCTGTGGGGAGGCAGCAGCATAAAGGGCCCAGGCTCTTCCCTCCCAGGCCAGAGAGTCCGGCGTGTGGTGTGGCTCTTGGCCTCCTTGCCACGCCATTCTCTGCCCCTGCTGTACCCAGGGGAGTTGGCAGCAGGCAGTACCATCAGGGGCCTCTGGGAGAGGAGCAGGGAGACAGGGCTCCTGGGTGTCATTGCCACCACTAGTCTGGAGGCCTAGGGGTGGTCTCAGGAGGATCTCTGTGGTCTTATTCTCAGGGAGGCCCAGTCAGGGTGGGAAGAGGAAATGGCCCTTGCTCAGGCCATTCAGGCAGAGGTGTGCACACAGAGGGGCCTATGTAGCCCCACAGACAGCTAGAAGGGGTCCTGGGGAATGAGGAGTTGGCCAGGTGGAGGAGGTGGGAGAGTATTCCAGGGGCAGAGAACGGAGGCAGTGGCCTCAGGCCATGGGGCTGGAGCTCGGTGGGGGAGCCTTCAGGGAGAGTTGAGGACAAGTTCAGGCCCCTGCATCCCACCCTGGTGACAGTGACCCACAGGTCACCGTGATCCCGGCTCCCCTACTTGCCAGCTGAGGGTGCTGGGCTGGTGCAGCGTTCTCTGAGTGCAGAGGTTCTCCCCTGGGTACAGTGAGGTTGTGGTCGAGAATGCTCTAATGGTCGGCCCTGGCCTGACAGGTGTAGGGCAAGGCGGTAAGTGGAAGCCACAGCCCGGACCAGGTATGGAAAGGTGGGCCAAGCCGCCACATGAAGGACAGGCTGGGTGGAGAGTCTGGGTGTGGCTTGCTCCCCCATGGGGGCCCTGTACTCAGCAGGTCCCTGTGCTGAGGCAGTGGGGCACCCACTGGGCCTGCAAGGAGGCCGTCCGGGTCCAGTAGGGCCCAGGCACACAGCCCGGAGCCCCCAGAGACCTGTTCCTGTGTCCCATGGCCCAGGTGCCAGGCCACACGCTTGTCTGCAGAGCACGCAGACCCCTGCCTGCCCATGTGCCTGCTAACAGCCCCTGAGAACACGGAGTCGGACAAAGGAGTGTCCTGAGGCCACAGGCAAGGGCAGAGGCAGGAAGTTTCGGAAAGTGAAGCTGGCGGAAATGAAGTGTGGGCTAGCGGAGGGGCTGAGGGTGCTCCTGGCTCAGTCTTGGCCATTCAGGGAGTCAATGGGCATTTGTGGCCGGCCTGAGCCTGGCACGCCTCTCCTGAGGAACGCTGCGGAGGCCCAGGAATTCCCGGGGGGCGGCCCCACTCAGTGTAGGCAGATGCCATGGAGGAGTGCGGGTGTGTGTCAGGAGACAGCCCGCCTTTTCCCATGGCCCTGGCCTGGCCAGCCTGCCCAGAGGCCACCCTGGCCCGCCAGGGCTCTCCTTAGGTCACCCCGCCCCCCCAGGAATGGAACCCTCAGGCAGTAGCCTCAGGCCCTGGGCTGGTGCTCAGTGGGGGAGCCCTCAGGGAGGGTTGAGGACAAGTTCAGCCCCCTGCACCCTGCCCTGGTGACAGCGGCCCACATGTCACCGTGATCCCAGCTCCCCCGCTTGCCAGCTGAGGGTGCTGGGCTGGTCTTGTGCACCCCCCATCCACGCATCCACCTGTCCATCCGTCCATCCACCCATCTGTCCATCCATCCGTCCTTCCATCCTTCCACCCACTAGGCCATCTGATAACCACTCACTGAACTTGCCCGTGTGTGGGACCCCGAGTCAGGCCCTGGGAAGGCACAGGGGCTCTTGGAGTGGGGACAGAGGGCAGTGCGTGTGCAAAGTCGGGCGGTGAGCGGTCAGGGCGGGGGGAGAGACTTGCGGCCCTGGTGGACGCGCGCTGTTCTTGGTGCATGCCGACACCGCACGAGGAGTCTGAAGTTCTTGCACTTGTCAACCCCATAAGCTCCACAGATGGGGAAGCAGAGGTACGGAGAGGCTGAGCGGCTCGCCCAAGGCCACCAGCCACCTAACCACAGGCTGAGTGTCCAAGTCTCTAAGAGCCACCCAGAGGACAGCGCTCCCTGAGGTTTGTTCCTGGACAGAGGGCTCGGCCTGCGCTGTTAGCAAAGGGAGTGCCACGTGGGGAGTTTGGGAAATGCTGCCCTCCAGGACCTCCTTGGAGTCACTGCTGGTCAGAGGCTCTGCCAGGCCTGCCCAAGGGCAAGTGGACACGGGCTGGGGCCAGAGGGTGGGCCCTGAGGTCAGGGTCTGGGGGGCCGGTACGTGCTAGCCCACATGGCAGAGGCAAGCCAGTGTGGAGGGCTGAGCCCCTCCACAGAGCCTGCCCTGTGGGGCAAGAGGGAAAAGACAGAGGGGAAACGGCCAAGGGGAGCAGGTGGCCACCTCCACTTTCTCGACACAGCCCTGTGCCCCTTCTGTCTCTAGCCGGACCGCACAAGCCTGGGCGCCCCACGAGCACCCCTTTCCCCACCCCGTCAGCCAGGGCCAGCCCAGCCTGGGGCTGTTGGGTGCTGCTGCCTGCCCGTCCCGGGCTGGACATGAGCACATCCCCCAGCCCCTGGGCCACCAGGCAAGGGCTCTTGCCCAGGTTGCCCTTGGGGAAACTGAGGCCCCGAGAGGCAGGGACCTTGTGCAGACGCCAGAGTATGACTGCTCTGCCCTACAGATTAGGGAGCTGCTGAGGCCCAGGCTGGACACTCCTCCTGGTGGCCGAGGCCCACAAGGGTGGGGGTGGGGTCCAGGCCTCATCGAGGACCCTGGCTGTGGGCACAGGGTGCAGGCCACAGGAGAGGCCAAGGGCCCCTAGGGCGTCCCCACGGTGAGATTTCAGAGAGTCTCAGTGTCTCAGAGACCCAGGCAGAATTCCAGAACTCCGGCTGTGAGGCCCGAATCCCTGTTGCAATGCCCACTTGACGGCCCTGCCCTGGCCCAGCTCTGCCTGCTGCCTTTCTGGCTTTGCTGGGCTCTGCTGGGCTGCTTGGCTTGGAGTGCTGGGTGGGATGAAGGAGGCAGGCCCCCTGTCCTCCCCCTGAGGCCACTTGGGCCCCCAGGCTCTCTTCTCTATGTCTGGGTACCCCCACCCCCCGCCCCACAAACCTGGGCTCTGTCTGGATCTGAGTGGGGACCTACCCTGCCAGGTCCCCCAGCCCCACGGGTCTGGCCTCTCCCTGGGAGAGGAAGGCCGGCAGAGTCTACTTTAGTTCCTCAAGGCTCTGTGTCCAAACAAGGTCTTCTCCTGGCTCTGGGATGGGATCTGGCTGCGGGTGCTCAGGCCCCTTTCCCCAGACTGGGCCCCTCCCACCCTGCCTGGGCAGCCTCCAGGACTGCAGCCCCTCCCCAGGCACTCAGGGCCAGGTGGTCGGTTATATGTGTGCTGCAGGGCAGGGTGCCCATCCAGACGTGGCACCTGGTGGGCGGCCTCCGAGCCACTGTCCCACTCTCCCATTCCTCAGGGCTGGGAGCTGCCGCAGGCCTCTGCCCCTGGCCCGTGCCAGCCCCAAGGGTCTGTGCCACTTGTGCTGAGCTTTGTGGGTCCCCAGTGTCTGCAGGACCTCCTCTTCTGGGGTAGGATCTGTTCTTGTCGGAACCAGCCCTGTCTGCGGATCCTGGGGGCTGAGGGCTGGGCAAGCGGGCTCCCCTGACCCGGGGCCTCTTGAGGCCAGGATGAGGCTGTTCCCATGGGCAGGACCCCCAACACCCCTGAGGCTGGCACTTTGGCTGTGTGGACAGCTTGGGGCTGGAGCAGAGGGATAGGCTGCCCAAGACTCTGTAGAACATGCGACCCCCGAGACCCTGTCCTGGCCTCCTCCAGGCTGCCAGCTCCTGGGACAGGCCTAGCCTTCTTCCCTCCCCTCCACCCACTGCCCCACACCCAGGAGGCTCCCGGCTCTGCCTCGTCCAGCGGCTCTGGCTGCTCTCTGCTGGGCTAGTCCCCCACTCCACTCATCTTTACTATCTTGGGCCAATTTAATATCAAGGCTCCTTTAGAACTGCTCGCTCGAGTTCTGAACAGCGTCCATCCCTCAGGGACTTTCCTCGGGGTTGCACACAACCCAGAAATCATCGTTTAAAGAACCAGGATCCTGAACACACTGCAGCCCTCAGCAGCACGCAGCCTCTGCTCACACGCCCCCCGGCTTGCCAGCTTCTGTCTTCCCTCCCGGGACTCCTGCCCTCCCAGGAGCCTCATGCTGTGCCCTGTCTGGGGTCTGCACTGGACTGGGTTGCTCTCGACCGGGCCCCCTGAGGGCCCTTGGGTGCTGGCTGTGCCCAAGAGGTGGCTGGGCGCCCTACAACACCGCCTCTCCTGGCCTCCTCCACTATGCCCAAGGCCAGCCTTGCTCCCCAGGAAGAGAGGCTGGGACACGGATCCAAAACTGACCTGCAGCTGTCAGAGCCCTG